AATTCTTTTTTTAAATATTATTTTCGGAACTTGAATTAACTAAAAAAAATAAAAAAAATGCGTCTCACGGTCTCACAAAATTAGGCCGTCTCACATAAACCTAACCCTATATATATATATATATATATATATATATATATATATATATATATATATATATATATATATATATATATATATATATATATAGGGAAAGGTTATTTGAAAAACAAAAAAACCCTAAAAATCATAAAAATGCATAAAAAAAAATACCTAGAGATCACAAAACTTTTTTTTTTGACATTTTTTAAGAAAAAATCGCAGATTTTTAAAGAAAATCGCTGAAAAAAATTTGAAAAAAAAAACTTTTTTTTTTACAATATATATATATATATATATATATATATATATATATATATATATATATATATATATATATATATATATATATATTATATTTTTTTTTCAACGAATTTTAATAAAAAGCTGCGATTTTTTATAAAAAAAAAAATCAAAAAAAAGTCTTGTGATCTCTAAGTATTTTTTTTTATGCATTTTTATTATATATCGTACTTCGGCGTTGTGTGTTATCTGTGCGGAATCGTTGAAGGGATAATCTAAAGTAACACAACCACTTGGGTTGTGGTGACTTGGTAAGGCATGTGGAAGATATGGTGGATAACCTATTGACCCATGTTCAAATCCTGGCACTACTAAGCCCTTGTGGCCATGGAGGTTCGCCTGCAGTGACTCCAGGGCATGAGGCAAAGCCTCATGTTTGCAGCGGGAGATTAATCGGTGCGCGAAAGCTGGCCCAGAAACCCTCGTTAGGGAAGTTCCCTTACCAAAAAAGTAACACTATATTGATGATGTTAGCAAAATAGTTGGGTCTATAATCCAACTTCATGGGTATCCTCTTTCATTCGACTCTACAACTTTTTTTTGGAAAGATATATGGTTAGGTGATCTTTCCCTTATTTTCCGATTCCACTGTTTATTTCTTTTGGAGATCAATAGATAGAGATTACATTGTTGAGAATCATTGGAGATCAATGGTACGTTTATAGTTATACAAGCCAATTGTGGACCCTCCACTTCGACCACCTTGTCAAAAACATCCCTCAGACTATTTTCTACTTCAAGATCGGTCTAAGTGCTCCATTCATTAATACCATCGTCTAAACAATGACAATAATCAACACAATACCAACATATACAATAATAAGTAACAACATTTATTTTCACGATATTAAGATTGTAAAATGTTAATATTATTTCAACATCCTCCATCACCTCAATCTTAACATTGAAAGAAGCCAAGATTTTCTTTTACTGAAATTGATCCACAATGTAAGTTTTTCAAGTAGAAAAATATCTTGAATAAAACTTAATGACTTTGTGAAAATATTTCATTTATAAGAAAATTTCTTCTACTTTTTTAATTTTTATTTTTTTGAAAATCTAGGTTTAAACCAGAAAAATGTAAAAACACATATCTTTTATGTAATTAACCATTTAAAATTCATTTGTAATTTGATATGATCACCAAAAGTTATTGCAAGAACATACACCATCATGAAAATGATGAAATCTCATGTTATCCCTAACAACAATCTCCCTACCACTAACCTTGGAGGCCCCACACATAACCACATGACAATCTTCACATATCCTTATATTCTTCACAATCCTAATGATTCTAGAATCACCAAGCAATCCATACGCCAATGCCAACTTTTCACTATGTCCCCACAATATCTTCATCTTCTCATCATCACTCACATCATAAGGCACACAACTCAAAACCGGCTTATACCCATCTAACCTTAATTTACACAAAAGATCCTCCAACTCTCTCTTAATCTCCAAACTCCTAGGATGACCCATGTCACCCGCAAGAAACTCGTGAATTACCCCTTTTGCCCCTTCTACCCAACTATACGCAGGGTTCTTCTTCAAACCCTTGGATCTAAACAACCCTCGAATTCTTGAAACATCATTCCATTTTTTAGCAGAAGCATAAGTGTTTGAGAGTAGTATATAGTTTCCTATAGCATTTGGTTCGAGTTCAAATAAATGATTCGCAGCAATTTCAGCAATTTTAGGGTTCTTATGAATACGACAAGCACCAAGCAAGGCTCCCCAAACACCCGCATGGGGCAAAATGGGCATTTTGTTTATAAGATCATATGCATCATCAATGCATCCAGCTCTTCCAAGAAGATCCACCATGCATGTATAGTGGTCAGCATTTGGGGTTACATTATAGTCTTTTTCCATTACTTTAAAAAGATCTTGACCTTGTTTTACTAAACCTCCATGGCTACAAGCTGTGAGGACCCCTAAAAATGTTACTACATTTGGTTTCACATCCGTTTTCACCATTTTTTCAAACAAGTTGATTGCTTTTTGTGCATATCCATGCATTGCGAATCCAAGAATTAACGAGCTATAAGAGTAAACGTTTTTCTCAGGCATTTTATCAAACACGTTACATGCATCATCAATACATCCACATTTTGAATACATGTCAACTAAAGCAGACCCTATGATGACATTATTTTGAGGTCCAAATCCAGCTTTTTCAGCAACTTCACGAATCCATTTAGCATATTCAGTTGCACCTAATTGGGCACAAGCTGAAATGACACTAGCTAATGTGACCTCATCTGTTTTAACATGAGCCTCTTGCATTTTCTCAAAATAGTCCAAAGCCTTTCTAGGATTGGCATTCTGTGAAAATCCCATCACCATTGATGTCCATGCTACCATGTCCTTTGTAGGTAGTCCTTGGAACAACTCACTTGCTTCTTCCATGTTCCCATGTCTTGCATAAGCCACAATTAATGTAGTCCATGAGATTTCATTTCTTTCAGACATTTCATCGAACACTTTACGAGCACTATCTAACAACTCGCATCTAACATACATGTCAATCAAAGTATTACCGACAAACAAATCATAAGTAAACATACCAAGACTTATAACCTGCCCATGAATTTGCATACCCAGACTAACCCCACCACCACTACAAGCTTTCAACAAAGCTGTGAATGTAAATGAAACAGGACCAATCCCTTGTCGTCTCATTAGATTATACAAAGTTACAGACTCCATAAAAGGTCCTTGTACAGAGTAACCACGTATCAAAGCTGTAAACAAAAACGGGTTTGGGTGCTTAACTTGGTGAAAGACGCGAAAGGGGTATGGGTCCATAGGGACGTTGAATTTTGCAGTTAAAACACGAATGAGCTTTGTGATTACATAGGAGCATTGATCAAGACACTTACGGATGATGTGGGCATGAATTTGCTTGGCTTGATTGAGATTGTTGGAGGAGTCGAGTAGTGAGACTATTTGCGATTCCAATATTTTTCTTTGAGGATCATATTGAGGAGGTTGTTGTTTGTTGATGATGCTAAGATTTGTGAGGATTTTGGAGGTCGTTGGTGTACGAGAAATTGAAACCATCATACATGAAAATGATACATCTACTTAGAAAAAAATTGGTATTTTTAGCGCCGATATTTGATATCCCTGTAATTCTTGGAATTGAGGGAAAAAAAAAAAAGGTAAGCTGTTAGATTCGATCAATTTAATTATGAGTTTGCACGGAGTTGATCAATTTGTCAAAAGATGAGTCTCAGCCATGTATAAAAGCAATTACGTTATGGACCAAAGTAACAATGCATGCATGTGGGTGGGTTTTAGGTCTGACTTAAAGAAAATTTCATTTATGCATTTTATCAAACACCTAATGTGCATTAAACTACCAAGTAGAGACAATTCCAATCAGTCAATTAGATGAAAATAAACTGAAACTGACTGTTGAGGCATGATATACAGAACAAACGAAGGAAAGATTCAAATGTGAGACCAATGAAACGAAGAACATTTTAAGAAGAGAAGAAAAACATTTACAGGGGATAAACATAAACAGAAACAAAAGGCGGACGTTCGTACGTTGCTAACCTGAAACGTGATGCTCGTTTTCTCTATCGATTGGCTACTGGCGTGGCATCCAAAAGAACAGAACCGGTGCAACGTATTGCAGCTATCTGATCTGCGCGATCGCTTACGGCTGTGGCATAGAAAGGAATAGAAGTGGAGGACTGGTACGTATAGAAAGAAGCAGGAAATGGAAAGAATAGTCAAAATTTTAAACTTTTGTGGTTTCCTACTTGTACTTTTATTATATCACACTTGGTGCTTTACAAAAAAAAAAAAAAAAATCCTTTTACAATAAAGCATTGTTTTTACAATACAAATTAGTTGTCCGTAAAACAAAATATGTACATAATCTTGACCTGTTTATCATATAATTAATTTTCAAAATAAGTTTTTACATTTACAATGCAACTTTCATTTTTTTTTTTAATGAAGGTTTGATATAGTGGGTAGTGACATCCGATACGACAGTAAACCATAACACCCAACGAATACGGGTTCAATCCCTCCTTGAAGAGATAACATCTTTAACAATCCAGTGATAAGGGTTTCACTGCTTAAGACACGAATCGAACTAACACCATTCCCACAGAAACCTCGGGAGGAAAAACTGGAATGTGCCTTTGCCAAATTATAAATTAAACAAAAAGAAAAAAAATCAATGCTAAAAGCCTAAAAGCGGAAAGAAAAAAAATCAAATATCCATGTATTATGTTATTTTTTTTTAACCGACAAATAAGAGGCATATATATTAAAGGAAAACATGGTAAACAACCTACCAAGAAGTTAGGAGATACAACAAGTAAAAGAAACAAACGGAAAAAACAGATAGATACAACCCTATAAAAGGGTTAGTACATTAGTCCACCCAACTAATCGCTTTTGTTTTCCCCTTGTATTTGACCCATGTATACATGGTAGATATGATGATTTCCGACACTTTTGTTGGCTGCAACCTCTTGTTGTTGAATAATCTATCATTTCTTGCCTTCCAAATACTCCATAAGTAACCTTAGCAAATCCCCAATAATCTTCGTCTTTTTTTTGGCAATTGCCCCAGTTTGAAGCATAATCTATAACATCATGTACTGTCGTAAGGTCTGCAAAGGGTACTGGCACCACTTTAAGATCCATTTCATGACAGATTTAGCAAATGTGCATTCAGATAATACATGATCCATCGTCTCCTCCTTTTCGCTGCATTGAGAACAAATTTTTGAGTTTACTGTTATGCCCCTATCGGAGATGGTCACCGATGCTGGTATACGTCCCTGTTTAGCTCTCCATACGAATGTTGTGACTTTTATGGGTACTTGTTTTGGCCATTCAAACCTCCTAATGTCCATCGGGCTAGATTTGTCCAATCTATTCCTCATAGTATTTACCTTGTAGTCACCATCTTGAGTTAATGGGCATGTCCATGTGTGACCATCCGAAGTGGATTTTTTTTCAACACCATATCAACTGATATCCCCAATTTATTCAGTTCTTTTTTTTGCGAGCAAGTTATGTTGTTCCAAACTCCCGCTAGAGTTTATAGAGAAAAAATGTGATCCGGTTTACCCTGTAGTTTGGGCA